GTTCCATTTTCCCCCTCACTTTCAGGCACCCAATCAGGACGTAGATTTGGTCTTTTTACATAATTCCCATACTTCTTGCAGGCTTGTTCATTCTTTTTATTCTTTTTTGCTTTGGTTTCTCTTCCCGGCTTCACTTTCATTGCGGTTTGATCCATCAATTGCTGATTACTCTTCTTCCAGTGATCGAGTCGGTTACTGAAGCTTGGCATTTGTCACGTAATTGCTCGTGGTCATGTTTCCATCTCTTTCATTTCTCGTTTAGGACCTTCTCTGCATTGAATCGACTCTAAGCCATCAATTCTGTCCACTTTTTTTCAAAGGATTTTTAGTTTCTTTGTGCTGGGTACGGTAATTCCTCCTTTAGGCTCTGATTCAAGTTTGATGGACTGAAGCCTTTTCTCTCATCTCGTCAAAGTTCATCTCGCGTCCATTTATCCTTGCTCGATGAGTGCGTCCTTTGCCGGGAGATTGCGCTCTTATTTTTTTGAATTTCCAGCTTTTGCTGCCTGCTTTTTCCCCAGTCTTTGTTGGTTTTATGCCTCTGGCTTTTGATGATGGTGGTACTGGAATTGGGTTTGGTTTAGGTGTCCTTCCTGTTGATAGTTTTCCTTCTAACAGTCAGGGACCTCAGCTGGTAGGTTCGTTGGGAGTTGCTTGAGGTCACTCAGGACCCGTTTGCACTTGGGTGCAGCAGCAGAGGCTGCAAAGATAGTGAATATTTGACTGAACAGCGGAGGTACCTGTCTGTTCTGTTGCTCTTGGAGGGCTTCCTTCTCAGGGGTGTACTCCCACCCTTGTGAGGTGTGGGGTGGTCAGACTGCCCCTAGTGTGGGGGATGTCTCCACGTTATGCTACTCAGGGGTCAGGGACCACTTGAGCAGGCAGTCTGTCCCTCTCAGATCTCACCTCCGTTGGTTGGGAGATCCACTCGCTCTCTTCAAAGCTGTCGGACAGAGTCGTTTTGCGTCTGCAGAGGATTCTGCTGGCTTTTGTTGCTATCTGTGCCCTGTCCCAGAGGTGGATCTACAGAGACAGGCAGGTTTCCTGAGCTGCTGTGAGCTCCACCCAGTTCGAGCTTCCCAGGCAGCTTTGTTACCTACTTAAGCCTCAGCAATGGCGGGCGCCCCCTCCCCAGTCTCGCTGCTGCCCTGCCGGTACGATCCACAGACTGCTGTGCTAGCAATGAGGGAGGCTCCGGTGGTGTGGGACCCTCCCGGCCAGGGTGGGATATGATCTCCTGGTGTGCCTGTTCGCTTAAAAGCGCAGTATTGGGGTGGGAGTTACCCGATTTTCCAAGGTTGTGTGTGTGTCTCAGTTCCCTGGCTAGGAAAAGGGATTCCTTCCCCTTGCGCTTCCCAGGTGAGGCAATGCCTCGCCCTTGCTTCAGCTCTCGCTGGTCGGGCTGCAGCAGCTGACCCAGCACCCGATCCGTCCGGCACTCCCAAGTGAGATGAACCAGTACCTCAGTTGAAAATGCAGAAATCACCGGTCTTTTTTTGTGTTGGCTCGCGCTGGGAGTTGGAGACTGGAGCTGTTCCTATTCGGCCATCTTGCTCCGCCTCCTTTCTCTTTTTATTTCTCTTGGGCTACTCAGTAACTCCGGCTTTTAAGAAAATTATCTTTTACTGTCTTTTCTTATATTTCTGACCTTCTGCTCCAAGTTTTTCATTTTCTGTATATGTGTGATGTGTTGTACTTTGAGGTCCTTGTGTCACTTACTTTCCTTTCTGTGTCTACCTGTAATGAAAATTAAAGTTTATTCATTATCTGCATTTATATTTGCTTTGTTTTAGAAAGAAGAAATACCCAATGCTGTTCTTCTTTACTCATTAATAAGACACACAATTGTGTAGACTGAGTCAAACATCTAGTACCATGTGATAAATTACCCCAGAACACCAAGGTCATTGGAGAAGCAGAAGTTGCCATTCCCAAGAAGTTAACACTTCCTTCTGTTGTGAATGGGCACATGGAGAGGACACATCACCACTTTTAACAAAGCATTTGGGTTATTCTATCTGTTGTAGAATCTAATTACTGGAAAGATTTTTATGAATCATCCTAAACAAAGCCTTCATTTACTGTAGAACTATATGTATACACATATACACTATATATATATATATGTGTGTGGCATATGATTGCTTGTCTTTAGTTTGAATATTTTCAGTGACAGGGAATTTACTACATCCATCAGTAAACTAAATCCAGGCACATACAACTTTGAAGCAATGGATACAGAAAACCACTCAATGGTGACTGAGTTTATCTTCATGGGCATCACCCAAGACCCTCAGATGCAGATCATCTTCTTCGTGGTTTTCCTCATAGTTTACCTGGTTAATGTAGTGGGGAACGTTGGTATGATTATCCTGATTATAACAGACACTCAGCTTCACACACCCATGTATTTTTTCCTCTGCAACCTCTCCTTTGTTGACCTGGGCTACTCCTCAGCCATTGCTCCCAGGATGCTGGCTGACTTCCTAACAAAGCACAAAGTTATCTCCTTCTCCAGCTGTGCCACCCAGTTTGCTTTCTTTGTAGGTTTTGTGGATGCTGAGTGCTATGTCCTGGCAGCCATGGCCTATGATCGTTTTGTGGCTATCTGTCAACCCCTCCACTATAGCACCCTCATGTCCAAGCGGGTCTGCTTGGCTCTCATGCTGGGCTGTTACCTGGCTGGTCTAGTAAGTTTAGTAGCCCACACTACCCTCACCTTCAGCCTGAGTTACTGTGGTTCCAATATCATCAACCATTTCTTCTGCGAAATCCCACCACTCTTGGCCCTCTCTTGTTCAGACACCTACATCAGTGAGATCTTGCTCTTCAGTCTGTGTGGCTTCATTGAATTCAGCACCATCCTCATCATCTTCATCTCCTATACCTTTATCCTCGTTGCAATCATCAGAATGCGTTCAGCTGAAGGCCGCCTTAAGGCTTTCTCCACCTGTGGGTCTCACCTTACTGGCGTCACCCTCTTCTATGGCACAGTCATGTTTATGTACCTGAGGCCAACATCCAGCTACTCTCTGGACCAAGACAAGTGGGCCTCTGTGTTCTACACGATTATCATCCCCATGTTGAATCCCTTGATCTACAGTTTGCGGAACAAAGATGTGAAAGCTGCTTTCAAAAAACTAATTCGAAAAAACCTCAATAATAACACAAAATGAAAATCTGTTTTTGTCATAGGTAAATAATAGTAGTGGAAGGAGATAGAAAATGCAGATAACTTTTTGATAAACACTACCCAAGTTACCATCTCCTTGCTAAGTGAATATTAAATTCTGAAAGGTGGGCTCTAATCCTTAACTCTACAATCTGAAAGAAATATAAACTAAATTAGAATTTTTGAAAGACATACTGGGCAAGATGCATTCATTTCTTATTCAAAGTCGGTTTACATATTAATTAGAAATTGGGACAGGACTCAGTAGGAGAAAGAAATAACCAATCACTCTGAAGCATTTTTTTTTCCCCTGGGGTCATGAGGAATGCCAGGTCCAAATGTTGAATTTTTTTTTACTCTCAAAAGAAGTCAGAGAAAATGTAGTTAAAAACATGGAGAATGGGGCTGGTGTGAGGGACAATTTAACCCAGTCTGAGATCTATCCATTCATATATTTAGCAAAATATTTTAAGTGTTATGTATGTGCCAGGTTCTGGAGGTTATAAACACAAGGCTTTTTTTTGCCAACAAGGAGTTTGCTGTGCTTTCAGTGACTGTATTGACTTTCTGAATCTGCTGCCGCCAGTAACTAAATCAGTAACTCTGCAAAGTCCAAGGATAAGAGTGGGGATTTAAGTTCTGCTGGTAACTAGCTGTAATTAAGGAATAAAATTGTCTTCTTTTTCTGTCCTCAGCTTTCCCTTTAGTTGGTTAAGTGGTTGGGTTCAACTAATAACCACGGGATTTCTTTGACCTTCTCTGCCTGATGTTAAAAGGGAGTAGGCATCGAAGTTTTGTCAACTTTATATATTGACATCTTCTTGGCCCTCAGAAAATCCAAGAACTCTGGGAATCTAAGAAAGATAAAGTTGAGTGCAATCTCCAAGGCTAATTTTGGCAAGATTGTGATGTCTACAAGATTAACTTACCTGTTCCCATCTAAAATTAGTCCTGTCTTGTCTCTTAATTAGACCCCCGCTTCCCTTGGGTGCCGTGGGTCTCCATGCCCTCCACCACCATCCCCAGGCCTTTTTCAAAGAACAGTCTCATTAACCCTGGTGTATGAATGACTGACAAGAAAAAATTATATAATTTTTATTCACATGTTCTAAAGGCTACAAAATACTCAATTGAAAACAAGAATGCCAGGTATCAGCAGCAGACTGAGATCTTGGAAAAGCTAACATTTTCCCAGATGTGCTGAAATTGTCATAATAACAGTTTTGAATACTTACAATCAATCATCGTTCTCTTTCAACCCTTCCTCCAGTGCAACATAGTTAAAAGTCAGGGGAACACAATGGTTGCCTTAAAGTACAGAGCTGCCATATTCATCATGAAAGGCACTGAAGAGTTTTTAACATAAAAAACCTAGAACTCACTGGGGTTTATCTGTACACAAGTTGTAATTGATCTAGTTTAAAATTAGTCACATCACAACTCATTTTTGGGAAAGAACCACCTGTAGCTAATGCACAGATATAGAGTTGACAGTTCAGAAACAGTCCAGATCTAGCCTTCAGTTTCTTTTTTTCACCATTGTGAAAATCAGGTGTGCTCTGTGAAATACAAGAAAAAAGTGCTTTCCTATCCCGTTAACTACAAACGAAGTATATGTTATAATTGAGCATATACTTAGAATCAGAATTGAACGTATACTTAGAATTTAAGTTGCCTTAGAATCAGGAATCTTAGAATCCCATTGCTAAATCTTTAATCAGTGACCTTGTGGCTGCAGGGTCACCTTTTCTCATTTCCTGTACTCATGCACTAAACAAACCACTTTAAATCTTATTAAATTCACACAATAATCATTTGAAACAGACATTACCCTCATTTTATTTATTTTAAATTATTATTTTAATTTTTTATTTATTTTTAATTGTTGTGAGTACATAGTAGGTGTACGTATTTATGGTGTACATGAGATGTTTTGATACAGGAATACAATGTGAAATAAGCACGTCATGAAGAATGGCGTATCCATCCCCTCAAGCATTTATCCTTTGAGTCACAAATAATCCAGTTACATTCTTTAAGTTATTTTAAAATATACAATTAAGTTATTATTGACTTTTTTTGTGAAAATATATTTTCATACCCATAACTTTTTTCCTATCTCTGTCTCTCTCCTACTTACTGGTACTTTTCCGTCACATTGTAGCTTATTGTGTTATACTTGTTAACTTTGTATTTTGCAAAAAAATCTTTAAATAACCTCTAAATTAGACAAAATTATTCTTTTTTCTTGATAAAGAACAGGCTTTTATGCCTTTCTTATAATTTTTTATTAAAACACATCTTACTTTTTTGAGAGATTTTATATTATAGTTCTAGAGATATTAATTAGTATTTTTAATTTAATAACCTTAAATTTTAGTGAAAACCTAGGAAGCCAGAAATCTTGAATTATCTGTCATATCCTGTATTTTATATATGAAAATTTGTGTAATTTTAAAAACATGTTTTTCTGTAACATAATTTTATATATATTCATAGAACCAAATCTATTTAGTCTTTCTATATTATTTTAGAATCCAAGAAAAGAAACTTATATTTATGGTCAGAATTTTGTTTTATCTTTTGATCTTATTTGGAAATGACTCAGACATTTAATGAATATCTATCATTTAAATCAATATAACATAACTTTAAGATTTCAAATTACATGAAAACTATATTTACAGACATTTACCTCATTTCTATTATCTAATTTATTCAATTTTTTATAGTTTACATAGATTAGTTATGAAAATTGAGATATGAAATAAAGCTAGTCATTTCTAGTTATTTTCCTATTTTTATAACTTATGAATATCAGGTGTGCACCGAAGTAGAAATCTTAAAGTTAATTGTATGAATATTTTAATTATAACTTAGAAGAGATAGCTATTTTTACTAAACAAACATTATTAAACTAGCCTTAATTATCAAAGAGTTGACGAAGATTATTCTATTTTAGGCTGGGTTTTCAGTTTTATAACCTTAAAACATTTAGCAAAGACAAATATAAAACTCTACCACTACAGCTGGGCAAAAAGATAAGTTGACAATTTGCTGATAATTTTAAAACCAGCTTTTTTATTAAAGATATACTTAAGTCACATGAACGAAAAAGCATTCGGGTTATTATACATTTTATATGAGTGCTCATTTGTCTAAGCTATGTAAATAGAATTCCTCAGGAAATTTTTTGCCATAGGGCACAGTGGCTCACGCCTGTTATCCCAGAACTTTGGGAGGCCGAGGAAGGCAGATCACGGGGTCAGGAGTTCGAGACCAGCCTGACCAATTGGCATGGTGAAACCCCATCTCTACTAAAAATACAAAACTTAGCCAGGAGTGGTGGCGGCACGTGCTGTAATCCCAGGAGGGTTACTCAGGAGGCTGAGTCAGAAGAATCGCTTGAACCTGGGAGGCAGAGGTTGCAGTGAGCCGCGATAGTGCCACTGCAGTCCAGTCTGGGTGACAGAGTAAGACTCCATCTCAAAAAAAATACAAAAATACAAAATTTTTTGCCAACTATGCCAGATTTTACCATGTAGAAACAACATGCAACATAATACATGTTCATACACATATACACACCTAAACACATATATGCAGACACAAAAATGTGATAACCATCAATAGGTAACCTAATGAAGGCTGCAGATCAAAATTTTGGGTGAAGCAATTTATATAGTAGCTTGGATTTTATTGTTGTTTGTTTGTCTGTTTTTCTTAGCCTCTTTAACATTTCTATTTTGTTTATTCTGTCTCAAGTGAGTTTAGATTTAAATTTTCAATGGTTTACATTTTAGCTAGGACTGGTTGAATTGTATTAGAAAAACAAAATCTCCAAACAGTGGTGAACTAGTAACAAATCTAACTTTTTTTTTTTTTTTTGCAGGTCTGTTTTGTTTGATTAACAAATGCAGGCAAGAAAGAATTTTAGCAGGATGTGTTGTTTTTTGGCAGGGGCTTGGGGGTTGGTCTTTGTGTGGCAGAAAAAGCAAATTTTTTTATGCCAGACAGAGATGACTTACATTGTTTTGAGTTCAAGATTTTGACCTGTTAGACCTGAGATCTTAATATTTATATATATTTACCTAGTTCCTTTTATAGATTATTAATTTTTCAATAAATTATTTCATCACCATAAACAAATTTTAGTCAGGTAAACCTAAATTTACATTTTCTAATGGTGTCTAGGTTGTTGGTTACCATGGAGCTCTTGTAATTTGTGAAACTATTAATTTAAAAGCACTTTAATACTTTAAAAAAAATATTGACTAGAATGCCATAAGCAGTGAGTTTTATGTCATCCCCAGTAGAAAAGTCAGCAGATTCAAAGTAGGCAGTAAGAAAAAACAAGAAAGAGAGAGAACTTAGAAGTCTCTACCTGTTAGCATGATAGTTGCAGGTCTTTAAAAAGAGTTTAAATAATGAACATTTGAGCTCTGAATTTTTCTTGATGTAACATTGCTTGTCAATTTTAAAATATGCATAAGCATGGACCATAAAATGTGGCTAGCTGGAATCCCAAAAACTTGTCATGCCTTTATGTTTTAAAAAACCCATTCTGTTTCTTAGTCATCTCTTGAGAGCAAAGAAAATACTATCATTCTTATCAGGAAATGTCAGTAGTTTAGATCAGTGTTTTAGACGGTAGCAATTGCACTAATGGCTTTTAATTTAGCCTTTCTGCACCCACCGTTTAGAATATATTTTTGCTTTCAGAATAATTTTTTTAAAAATCAAGGGGAAAGAATCAAACCAAATCAAAAGAAACCAAGATAAGAGTGTTCATAAAAATTTCCACCTCGGCATAAAGGTCAAACAAAATATTAAACTAGGCACAGAGACCAAAAGTGAATTCTCTACAAAAGACATGCCTCCTAGATAGAATGCAAATTCTGTAGAAACAGAGTACTCAATCCAGAAAGACACATGTCTTTACACCAGAAAAGATTTACCACAAAAGACGAAAAGTCTTTTATCACCCCAGGAGGGATGCATAGTCCCTTATTAGGTGACTTTATAAAAAAAAAAAAAAAAAAAAAAAAAAAAAAACAGATCCTAATATACAAAAGCCTATACTAAAAGAGGCAGGCTCAGCCTAAGAGAAGACTCATCAGGGCAGAAAAGTGAGCCAAGGAAGTGGAGGAAAGCACAAAGGGCTCAAGTGAGCACTGCATCACCAGTTTCTTTGGATCATTTCAAGAATCACCAGTTTCTTTGGATCATTATCTTTTTCGGGTTCTATTTCTGACACCATATGTGTCAACCTAAATAACAAACACAGAGAGGCTATCTAAAAGAAAAATAGGTTTATTTGAGAATACAGTGTTGCCGTGGGAATACAAATGCCACAGTCAACTATATGCATATTCGGGGAGGTAATGGAAGACAAAGTTGTTTTGTTTTGTTTTGTTTTTAAATGAGAATTTTGTGATTATTTTGGAATAATAATCTTTGGCTACAAAGATTGATGACAAGGGTGATGCCTGTTTTTTTTTTGTTGTTGTTGTTTTGTTGTTTGTTGGTTTTGCTGAAACATGCAGAGAATTTTTATCTATCACAAATGTTAATACTTATATTTACTTGCAGTACAGAGTCACAGAGAGATATGCAGGCAAGGTATTAGTAGGGTTCAAGGGTTTCACACAACATCTAGTACACAGTAGGTTGCTTACTAAGGACTTGCCATATTTTGCTCAAATGCCAACTTTTGGTACCGTAGGTTGTCAATTAGTCATTTCTTATATAGATGCCTTTTTGGATAGTTGTCATGCTACATTTTTACCAATTAAGTATTTCAGGCCACTTTTTGTTATTTTTTTCAATCATAGTTCAAGGTCAGGTAGTAGGGGCCCCATCCCCCCTCCCTTCCAGACAACAGAATAGTGTTCTTATTAGAAGTTCCTAACATGGAGCAATTCCAGCATGTGAACTGTGATAGGACATAGCCGGGAAGATGAGAAACTGTAGCCATCATCCAGGGGTAATATATTCCATCTCTGTTGCTCCTTGCAGCCTGCGGGTCCTCTTCAGTGCCCTCTCCATTAAACCTATTAACATGTAGGATCCTCATCTGCTTCACAATGGTGCTTTTACCAGATTCTCCAGCACCCAGCAGTAGCAGGCGGTGCGTGGCCCGGTTGATGCCTAGTTGGACAGGCAGTTTCTGGGCAGATGTCCTTGCAGAAGTACTCTTTTTGTGTAAAGTTGTGATGACCTTTGTGCAGGAGTGTGGTTTTTGCAGTCCTTGTGATAGTTTTATCAGGCATACAAGCATGAGAAACCTCTCTTAATAGCCTTCTCTGGCTCTTTTTGTCACTTTTTAAATTATTTTTATATATGTCTGTATGTATTATAGAAACATAGTCCCACTGTGTTGCCCACACTGTTTTTGAACTCCTGGGCTTCAGAGACCCTCCCAACTCAGCCTCCCAAAGTTCTGGGATTAAAAGCATGAATCACCATGCCCAGCCATATTTGTCACTTGTTTTTATTTAACACTAGTAACTTCATTTTGATTCTGGAAACTTTTATAAATACAACTGATATTCATTTTAGTGTTTCTCAACATGACCTACAGGCAACCCACATTACAAGCACTTGGGCTGCTTTAATGAAAGCAGTTCCCTGGGGGCTCTCCTGCAACTTCCTAAGTTAGAAATACTGGGGCACTCTTAGGTGCAAAGAATTTGAGAACCATTTGTTACTTGACTGTTTATGACATGCTAGGCACTGTATGTAGTCCTTACTTGAGTAAACTCCTTTACAACAACCCTAAGAAGAGATGAATTATCCCTATCTTACATATGAAGAAATTGAGGCTTTACATTGTTGACTAGTGATGAAGAACTTGAATCCTTCTCAGCTGTTGAAAGACAAATGCTTTTTCGAGGATATCCCATCTGTCTCTAGTGTGAGCAGTCAGCTCTGATTTCTTAGGCGTGCTTCCCAAACGTCATGACACATAATGACAGGCAATCTGTTGCTCAGATGAAAAACAATTTCTTCACAGACACTCCATTTGGGAAAACAAATATTTGTTTAGGCTGGCTATATTGTGGACTGATTTCTTTGTCCCTGCACCTGTCTGCAAAAAACACAAATGACCTGGGATTACTGGTGCCAGGAAATGCATGTGGAATATCAAACAATTCTGTAGTGGTTTTAGGGTATAATGACATCATTAGAGGACACCCAGAACATCAATTCTCTTGACTTGTTTCTCTTCTGAGTCATTTAAACAAATGAACCCATTTGTTTATTCCATAAATATTTATTGTATATCTATTTTATGCCAGGTACTATTCTAGGCAGTGGGGATATGTAGCATGCAAAAGAAACAAAAATCCTTGCTCTGTCCTGTGAGCTTCTATCTCCACTTTACCCCAGTGACCCAGTAAAAAAAGTAAATGGAGAGCCGTACTGCCACAGGTAATTTGACCACTTAGAAACATTTTCTAGTTATTTTGTATTTCTTTACACAATTCCTAGAAAAGCCTATGAAGCTTCACAAAGTAAAATGCAAAGTTTTGGAGGAGTGGAGTCTCAATAAATGAAAACATCCTTTAAAGAGTGTTTCTTTTTTTATTTTATATTCAATATGTTTTATTCAATTATGGTAATTATACTTTTAATATGAAATTGTCTAAAATGCATCCACGGGAAACTTCTTCAAACTAGCCTCTGGGTCGTTTTAACATGTCCCTATAATCTTTGAATATTTTCTTAGTTTCTGCCACAAGATGTCCCAGACTCATCTTATGCAATCCTTGACCAAAACTTGGGAGGTTTAAGGAGTTCTGGGATCCCTTCAGTGGAAAAATGGTATTTAGCTACCAAAACTCGTGCTTTGTGTGTGCTCATAGCTGCTGGGTTTTCTTTTCTTTTTTTCTTTATTTTACTTTAAGTTCTGAGATACATGTGCAGAACATGCAGATTTGTCTTACCTAGGAATACGTGTGCCGTGGTGGTTTTCTGCACCTATCAACCCATCATCTAGGTTTTAAGCCCTGCATGTATTAGGTATTTATTCTAATGCTCTCCCTCCTCTTGCCCTCCAATAGGCCCCAGCGTGTGATATTCCCCTTCCTGTGTCCATGTATTCTCATTGTTCAACTCCCACTTATGAGTGAGAACATGTGGTGTTTGGTTTTCTGTTCCTGTGTTAGTTTACTGACAACGATGGCTTCCAGCTTCATCCATGTCCCTGCAAAGAACACGAACTTACTCTTTTTTATGGATGCATAGTATTCCATGGTGTATATGTGTCACATTTTCTTTATCCAGTCTATCATTGATGGGCATTTCTTAAGTGTGTGGTTGGATTTATTATTATCACAAAGATAAGAGGACTACTGGATGTTTAGTATGTAGTAGACAGTATGAACACATCCTGCATCCATAGGGACAGCCCTATGCAAAGAAAAATATTCCATTCCCTACACCCAGACTCCCAATGGATATCTGTACATTAGAAAATATTGTTATAATTACATCAGTTTGAAATCTACTCTGCTCTACAGACAAAGAAAACTTATATTTTGCAAGGTCCTCCTATATAACAATTTAATAAAACCAAGGAAAGATTGTGGTTTATTTTGTTTGGAACTTTGTCAAGACTTGATGAACTTGTCAGGAAAATATCACCAATATCAAAGTGACTCCTGATATTTGAGTCACCAACACATTAATGATGATTCCACATGTGTCGATTTTACTACTTATATCTCACTAAGTGATCCAGCATTTATATATTGAAATTCAAATTATTTTATAATACAACCTATATTATAATTATTTCATTATTTGTATTGTGAATTATTTTTCTTTTACATCTATTTACGTTAGACTTAGGATAGTTTGCATACACATACATACATGTTTATACTTAGGTTACATCAACTATACATATTATTTCAAGAATCTAAAGGAAGCATTTCTAAATGTGTGTTTGACAAGAAGATTTTTCCAATATTATGGCATTCAGAACTATTGCTCTAGACAATATCAACTTGGGATAACTGTCCTTTTAAGAACCATGTCCAGGGCTGCTTATAGAGACTGACAAGTAATGCTGAGTCTCAACATTTTATACCCCAAATACCCATAAAGAAATCACACATTTTTTTACTTGGCAGAAACAGATAAACTCATTGGTCTTTACCCAAGCTTCACCCTAATTCTCAACCGGATTCCTTCCCTGGAATTCATGATAAATGTACCAAAGACTCCTGTGGAGTAACTAAGCAGATAATTTTTTCTGTGATTGTGGAAAAATACATTGTTATCACCCTCTAAACCATAATGTTTAGAAGGTTTCAGTTTTCATAGGCTCTGAACAATTTGTCCATCCATCGCTGGGAACAGGAAAAGAATTTTTTTTTCTCTCAGTGTCTAAATTAGACGAGCTCTTTCCTAGTTGGTTTTTATCCCATCATCTAGTTTTATTTTCTTATTAGCATTTAACATTAATTGACACTGTACTTACTTGTTTTTTATGTATCTCTCCCATCTAGAATAAAAGCTCAGTAGGATAGGAGTCAGCCCTATCATCTTCACTGCTATATCCCACTGTCTGGAACAGCACATAGGGCTCAACAAATATTTTGTTTTTCAAGAAAAAATTAATAAACCTCTCAATAGCATGAAGGCTTTTCTGTTATCAAATGAATTTTATTACAATAAATATATTGAAACTCAGAAAACTTCCATCACCTGCCCAAGGCAGCCAAAATTCCTGCTTAGTGTTGATTATATTATTGCAGGTGCTTAGTATAGAAAATGCCGTCATCTGGTGTTGGTTGAGGCAATTAAACTGTCTTCTACTCTATTTGTAGGTGCAGTATCCGTAAGCCATGCAGAGAAGCAATCACACAGTGACTGAGTTCATCCTGCTGGGCTTCACCACAGATCCACGGATGCAGCTGGGCCTGTTTGTGGTGTTCCTGGGCGTGTACTCTCTGACTGTGGTAGGAAATAGCACCCTCATCATGTTGATTTGTAATGATTCCCGCCTCCACATACCCATGTATTTTTTCATTGGAAATCTGTCATTTCTGGATCTCTGGTATTCCTCTGTCTACACCCCAAAGATCCTAGTGATCTGCATCTCTGAAGACAAAAGCATCTCTTTTGCTGGCTGCCTGTGTCAGTTCTTCTTCTCTGCAGGGCTGGCCTATAGTGAGTGCTACCTGCTGGCTGCCATGGCTTATGACCGCTATGTGGCCATCTCCAAGCCCCTGCTTTATGCTCAGGCTATGCCAGGGAGATTGTGCATCTGTTTGGTTTTATATTCCTATACTGGAGGTTTTGTCAATGCGATAATACTAACCAGCAACACATTCACACTGGATTTTTGTGGTGACAATGTCATTGATGACTTTTTCTGTGATGTCCCACCCCTGGTGAAGCTGGCATGCAGGGTGAGAGAGAGCTACCAGGCTGTACTGCACTTCCTGCTGGCCTCTAATGTCATCTCCCCTATTGTGCTCATCCTGGCCTCTTACCTCTCCATCATTGCCACCATCCTGAGAATCCGCTCCACCCAGGGCCGCCTCAAAGCCTTCTCCACATGCTCCTCCCACCTGATCTCTGTTACCTTATACTATGGCTCCATTCTCTACATCTACTCTCGACCAAGTTCCAGCTACTCCCTTGAGAGGGACAAAATTGTTTCTACCTTTTATACTGTGCTGTTCCCCATGTTGAACCCTATGATCTACAGTCTGAGGAATAAAGACGTGAAAGAAGCTCTGAAAAAATTCTTCAGGTCAGCATAATCCAAAGTCTGAATTGACATAAAGTTCCCAAATCAGTGCTAAGTGATAACAAACTGCTCAGAGAGGTTACAGAACTAGATTTTTATTTCTTTTTTACCATTGAACAAAATTCAACGGGAAAAATTTTGTTTCTTTGTATTTTTGTTTGTTTGCTTGTGTGTTTTTTATGGTTTTGATATCAGACTATAATATATACTACAGAATGGTAGGTTCAACTGAATATTGATACAGTTTTTAAAATTCAGTATCTCCGATTAATGCAAGATGGAAGAGTAATACTTCTGACATCCTAAAGTAAAACTAAATTTTACTTTATTTCCCCTAATATTGACCCAATTATTTTTCCTACATAGTGAGTATTATGGAGATGAAAAGAAATCATAATATGGATCATTGATATTTGTGGGATACACCCCAAATCCTTATAGTTAAGTACTCAAACAGCTTCCTTTGTGATAGAGGAATAAGAATGTTATGATTATTTTGATGGAAAGAGGCAGGATGTGTTGGAAAATAAATGCAGCTGAAGAGAAAGATGAGAAATGTCACAGCAAAGACGAATGAAATGGCTACAACTGTATGTCCCAAATTTTTAAATTTTAATTAATTTTGTAAATGTGCTCATTCCAGCAAATGCTATAACCTTTCATTAACAAAGTGCTAACCTCTGAGCCGCAAGCTTCTGATTTGAAAACTGTAACCAATAATCCTTAACTTGCCGTCTTCTAAAGGCTACTGAGTGAAATACCAACTCAACCTGCCATCACAAGGGGGTTCGGTTACGGAGTTTATATCAGGGTTTAGGGAACTGGGCTCAAGGCCAAGCCTCATTTCCACGTGGTTAGCAACACGTTTGATTTTTCAGGATTTCAGGCATCGACCTAAACAAGTTTATCAGTTCTTAGGAATGTTCAAGGCCCAGGCTGGGTTCAGGCCAGGGGCAAACATGCAGCTTATGTCTTTGGGTCTGGACAAAGGAAAAAGAAAGGTAACTAGGGAGCGGTGGTTACTGTTGTCCATTTGTTTCATTTTGTTTGATGTTGTTACATTGCTGTGTGACCTGAGAGAGAGTACTATGGAGTACTCACTCCTTGTAAGAGAGAACACTCTTTTAGGATGATATGCAATTCTAAAGACACATATTTATTCATTAATTTAGAGATAGTTTTGCTGTTGTCATTGTTGTTTGTAACCTGAACAACTCTTAAACATCTTCCTAATATTCTCTTTACGTAGAAGGCATGAGGTTTACAAAGATACTTCCTATATGCTCAATTAGAGCTTTCTGAAGAAATTTTGAGGAAATGATTTTCTTAAAATAAATATTTGTAAAATCTTGAGCATATTTCCAGAAGTCTCACTCTTTAAGATATTCTTGTCACCTAGTAAAGATTGCTTACCAAGCTTCAAAGTCAAACTATACTCATTAAACCACATAATTTCTTTTGTTCCCCAAGATCTCCCAAAGGCAGCAAACACAATGAAATCTATGAAAGATTGAATACTGCCGAGGCAAAATACCGTATTGCAGAATGTCAAACAACCCAATACTATAAGTTTTAAATATTGCTTTGTTTTGCTTACATCACAACAAACTAATAACAATTAAAGACTCATGTGGTCAATCTTTTAATGTCTTAAATATGACTTATTGAATTTAAATGAACTACAGAAATGCAAACAAACATATTTATAAGCCAATAATCTGGAAAATTCAATAACAGCATTTGCGAAGAGAATAACCTTCACGTTTGTGGTCGTATAGTCTGTGTTGCTTTCCTGAAGGCCTCTTTGATATCTTTGTTTCTCAGGCTATAGATGAGAGGGTTGAGCAGTGGGTTGATCACAGTGTAGAACAGAGCAGCTACTTTGTCCCTCTCTAGGGAGTAGGTGGAACTAGGCCTTGAATACATAAACAACAATGATCCATAGAAGAGCATGACTGAGATGAGGTGGGAAGCACAGGTGGAGAATGCCTTGCGTCTTCCTGAAGCTGAGTGGATTCTCAGGATAGCCAAGAGGATGTTGACATAGGAAATCAGGATAGCAAGAATGCTGGAGAGGACTGTGAAGCCCACCACACCAAGGAGAACTTTTTCATAGACCCTGGTGTCTGTACAGGACATTTTTACCAATGGTGGTACATCACAGAAAAAGTGGTCAATGATATTTTTACCACAAAAACGCAGGCAGAATGTATTGGCAGTATGGGCTATGGCATTCAAAAATCCTCCTGTGTAGGAGCCAGCAACAAGCCCAGTACAGAGGGCAGTGGACATGGTACCTGAGTAAAGCAATGGGTTACAAATTGCTGCATGGCGGTCATAAGCCATGGCTGCCAGGAGATAGCATTCAGTGTAGGCTACAACACAGGAAAAAAACAGCTGAGCCCCACATCCAGCCAAGGAAATGCGCTTATCTTCTGAGACACAAATGGCCAGGATTTTGGGGGTATACACAGAGGTATACCAGAAATCCAAAAAAGACAGATTACCAATGAAAAAGTACATAGGCATATGCAAGTGGGAATCAATTCGGATTAAGACAACCAAGGTCATGTTTCCCGACAAGGTTATCAAATAGAGCATCAGAAACATTCCAAATAGAATTGGTTGCCACTGGGGGTCTGCTGAGAAACCCAACAAGATGAATTCAGTCAGGATGGTGCGATTTCCCACGTCCATGTCCACAGAGGTGAAAGCCTGACTATCATGAGAAGGAAAAAGCATCACTTAGTGATTTTTGTATTGACACAAGTTAACAAGGGTATCAATTATTACTAATTTACAAAGCAACAATTACTAAGAAGCTTGTAGATTTTTCTCCCTTACTATCTAGAATTATAGGACTTCAGTCCATGATTTGGAAAAATTACTGGAATTGGAGTCAAAAATAATTTGAAAATTAGGAATTTTGCTTATTAACTATTTAATGCAGAGCAAGTCCCATATGCTCACAAAACATGAAAAAAAAATGAAACTCACAAGGATAACTAATTACTTCCTCTTCTTCTTCTTTTTTTTTTTTGAGACAGAATCTCACTCTGTCACCCAGGCTAGAGTGCAGTGGCATGATCTCCATTCACTACAACCTCTGCCTCCTGGGTTTAAGCAATTCTCCTGCCTCAGCCTCCCGAGTAGTTGGGATTACGGGCGCCCACCACCACACGCGACTAATTTTTTTATTTTCAGTAGAGACGGCGTTTCACCATGTTGGCCAGGCTGGTCTCAAATTGCTGACCTCAGGTGATCCACCTACCTCAGCCTCCCAAAGTGCTGGGATTACAGGCATGCGCCATCGTCCCTGGCTGACTAATAACTTCTTGACAGACTGTCTGATTGAATAAAGAAAACATACATAAAAATAACACAGCCCAGTATTGGGTCCATTAGTGGGCACTCAAAAAATTTCACTATCTTTCCATAAGTTATTGAAAACTTCTTATATGTCAAGTATTTACATTAAGTATTAGATTATTAAAGCTGCTATTTATATTACAAATACAAATACATTTTGACCATGTACCAGTTACTATTCTAATTCTTATACTTAACCCCTTGAGTCTTGGATGGCTTGGTGGTTTGCTTTGGCCAATTGATTGAAAGATAGGCAGCTCCATGTGGATTCAAAGCCTGGATTTCAAGAGGCTTTTTATGTTTCTCTTCTCACTTTTAGCATCCTACCTACCACCACCATGTAAATAAGCCTGGGTTAGTTTGCTGGATAAGACATGTGGCTGTGCTCACTCTGTCACCCCAGCTAACTGCCAGCTGTCCCCGAAACATGCGGGTGGGGCCCTTCTATATGATCCAGTCTACAGTGGTGCTAAGAGCTACCCACAGACATGAGCAAGCCCAGGTGAGAAAAGACAGGCCTGGCATAGGTAGGATTGCCCAAGTGATACGGTGTCTGAGTTCAAAACCAGATCTTCTTACTTGGTGGTTCTGTAATCTTGGAAAAGTATTGTAACAATTCCTAACCTACATGTTTCTACCTCGAAAAGGGTAAGAAAACATCAATGTTAAGAAAACAGCCTATTTTCTAGACAGAAAATCAATCTACAAATTTTTAACTGTCATTATTCTGAGTGGAAGGGTAATTATCTGACTTAATTATAAACTCTGAGCTTGTAAAACATAAATAAATAAGGCCAAGTTTCTACAAATAAGCAATTTCAGCCAGAATGGTGGTGTCTTTCAGTATCTTGCTAAAATCCTAGAATTTGATATTTTTGTCAACTACTCCCATGTAATTTGACAAAGGAGTTACAGGGTTTAGGATTGCGGGTTCCAATATTTGGTACATATCCCTGACACTAATCACCTGTATAACTTACGAAAGTAATTCTGCATCCCAGGAACACAATTCACCCATCTGAAAATTTTGGTTGATCCTATTCCCAGCGCCAAACTTCTATGATTCCAATTTGCTAAAATCTCTTATAGAAATTATCATGGGCCAGGCGCAGTGGCTCACACTTGTAAATCCCAGCACTTTGGGAGGCTGAGGCAGGCATATCTGTTGAGGCCAGGAGTTCAGGACCAGCCTGACCAACATAGCAAAATCGTGTATCTACTAAAAATGAGCCAGGCATGGTGGTACACGGCTGTAATCCCAGCTACTCAGGAGGCTGAGGCAGGAGAATCGCTTGAACCCAAGAGGCAGAGGTTGCAGTGAGCTGAGATTGCACCACTGCACTCCAACATGGGTGACAGAGAGATGCTCTGTCTTGAAACACACACAAAAAAAAAAAGAAAGAAAAAGAAAAACTTTCATGAGACAACAGATAGCCTCACTTGTTGCAACACAGTGTGGCAGAGCAGATTAATAGTCCTTATATACATACATATCTTGGGATATACAGGATATTACCGCTGTCTTGGTTGAAGTGAGAAATTAAATTTGCTGAAGATGACTGCACCCTTCTTTTCATCTCAAGATTTGCATACATGTTCTTGTGTCCTTAAAATACAGTCCTATGAAGTTGTGCATATTTTCTAAACACTGCATTTCTTAATTTATTTATCTGCAAATAATTAATTTTAAAATTTTGGACTCATGAACATCTTTGAGAACTTGATAAACTCAGCAATGATAATTCGCAAATATGAATATGTATATATGTAAAAACACGCAAAATTTTAAAGGGTTCACAAATTCCCAAAAATCTATTAATTTGCTGGTTATGATTTCAGATTAAAAAATTCTGCTACTGGAAGATGACTAAGTTTGCTTGGGTGCTGATATGCTGTAATAAAAGAGGAGTAATAGATATTTAAAACTAACCATGTTTAAAGTTGCATTCCTAATCTTCAGTTCCAAAAATTGATTTGTTCATTCCCCGTATTGGTTAATAAGATTCCACTCTTCCAGTATCTGAAGTCAAAAATTTGGAATCAGTCTACCCTGTTTCTTTCTTATCTACTTTTCCATCTTTCAGAAAGTTGTGATTTTCCTACCTTCAAAATGTATCCTGAATCTGACCACTTCTCCCCACCTCTACTGCTACCACTCTTGTTCAAACCACTATGATCTACTGTCAAGAATAGTGCCACCACCTCCTAACTCATCTGCACCCTTGTTCCCTGTGGTATAGTTTCAATACAACAGCCAGAGTAGGCCATTAAACACATAAATAACTTGCTTCTGTTTTTAAAACCCTGTAAAGGCTCCCAATTTATTTGAAGTTAAAACCCATAATCTGTCTCTCCCTTACCTAAAGAACCTTATCTCCTAATAGTCACCACACTGACCTCCTCCTTCCTTCTGCCCCAGTCTTGATGGCTTTCTCACTTTTTCTCAAATGTGCCGTCTCTGTCCCAGCATCAAAGATTTTTGACTGACTGTTCCCTCTGCCTGGAACACTATTCTCCAGATGTTAGCATGGCTCACTCATTAAGTTCCTTTCAAATGTCATTTTCTGACAAAGGTACATGCTAACCACTCCTTTTAAATTCCATGCCCCTTTCCCTCCAACAATCTTTATCCTTATTACTCTACTCCGATTCTACTGTGTTATCCCCCTCATCTATTGTCATCCTCTAACTCCTGTGTATTAAATCTATTGCCTGCTTCTCCTCACCAGAATGCAACATTTATGGGGCAAAATATTTCTCTGTCTTGTTTATTGCTATATCCCAGCACGAGGAACAGCTCCTATTAATGAATTGACACTCAGTAAATATTTCTAGAGTGAGTAATTGGTTAATTACCGTCATATCTTGAAGCTGGTTTAACAAAGTACGTGTATTTCTTTTTTTTTTTTTTTTCTTTGAGATAGAGTCTCACACTGTCACTCAGGCTGGAGTGCAGTGGCACGGTCTCCGCTCACTGCAACGTCTGCCTCCTGGGTTCAAGTGATTCTCCTTCCTCAGCCTCCCAAGTAGCTGGGATTACAGACACCCATCACCATGCCTAGCTAATGTTTTGTATTTTTAGTAGAGACAGGGTTTCACTATGTTGGCCAGGCTGGTCTTGAACTCCTCACCTCCGTGATCTGCCCTCCTCGGCCTCCCAAAGTGCTAAGATCACAGGCTTGAACCACCATGCCCAACCACTACTGTCTATTTCTAACCTGGTTCAAAATATTCAGAACAAGATCTATCCTCAAGTGGACTTTCCCAGCACAGTGTACTGTATCAAAATAAGAAAGAAGAGTAAATGAAAGAGAAGGCTCACTTCCAAGACCTCAAGTCCATCTTGAATTTGAAACAAGTTACCAAATATCTGTGAATGTGAAATAAAAGGCACAGAAAATGTCTGAGCCAATCGTGCTAAAGAATCTCCTATAGAATGGCCTATCAAGATGCACCTTCCCCTGCAGCAGCCCAGGTCTCTGCTCCCTTCACTGGAGCAAGAAAAACTCTTTGGTAGGAATGTGCCTTCCTGGCACCTGAAAATTACTACCAAGAAGTGAAAATGCCATACACTAGTAGTTTAGAGTAGCACAATCACTGGAGTCAGAAAAGCAAGTCAAAATTTTTTGGCCCTTTTGATTTCTTCACCGTGTAAGTGAATATATGATGGTCCAGCATAGATATAAGACTGAGTTTCAAATTCTAGGTGAGAGCAGGATGTATCACTGAATGGAATTTGATGTACTAGGGAGTCTGCACGTGCATCTGTGTGCATGTGTGGCGCAGCAGTAAATCCTTTGACAGTCATGCCAGATTCTGTATCCCCCTTCTGATTTGCAGCTGAGGTCAGAGAGCGGCCAGACTTCCTAGTTGCCCCTGATCCCAGGTGCTTACCCTTGGTTTGGAAGACCAGCTCTTGGAAGTGACACCTTTCCCTCTCTTCTGGTGTGTAATGTGTCCTCGTTGCACTCAATGTATGTATTTCTCAACAGCCCTTTGAGACACCTCCCTCACACCAGCACAGAAATCCGTACTTCTGTCTCCAAAGACTCAATTAGAGTTCATCTGGAGTTTGGGGACGTTAAATAAATTAGGATATGATGAAATGAGTAGTATGTCATTAAAAGTTGACTCTCTTAATGGCTCTAACTCATAATAGAATACTTTTATTCAGTTTTTATCCATTCAGTATGATATTGGCTGTGGGTTTGTCATAAATAGCTCTTATTATTTTGAGATATGTTCCGTCAATACCGAATTTATTGAGAGTTTTTAGCATGAAGGACTGTTGAATTTTGTCAAAGGCCTTTTCTGCATCTATTGAGATAATCATGTGGTGTTTGTCTTTGGTTCTGTTTATATGCTGGATTACGTTTATTGATTTGTGTATGTTGAACCAGCCTTGCATCCCAGGGATGAGGCCCACTTGATCATGGTGGATAAGCTTTTTAATGTGCTGCTGGATTCGGTTTGCCAGTATTTTATTGAGGATTTTTGCATCGATGTTCATCAGGAATATTGGTCTAAAATTCTCTTTTTTTGTTGTGTCTCTGCCAGGCTTTGGTATCAGGATGATGTTGGCCTCATAAAATGAGTTAGAAAGGATTCCTTCTTTTTCTATTGATTGGAATAGTTTCAGAAGGAATGGTACCAACTCCT